GATAGAGACCAATAGGGACATGCTTGGGCACACTATATCATGGATAAATTACCTTCATTGGAAGGGTCCAAGGCAAGGAGCAAGAAGTCCATACACTTTTCTCTATACAATTTCAAATCATCCTTGCAAACATACAGAAATATCCATTTCTCTTTCCCTTGTAGCATCTATAAGTCACACCCTGCTGACCCCCAGCACAGCCTGAGAATCATCCTCAACACTGTTAGCTCACTACCAACTAATGAGCTGGCATTTGGAATAAAAAGCATTGGTTTCCTACACAGGAATCTCTCAGATGAACATCAAGAAGGATGAAAGGTCACACAATGATTATCTTACAATGGGGACTGACTGGATCCTCTCCAGCATATCCTAGACACTGAAAACAGAGGTTGATCAACTCAGAGACTGATGAAAGCATCCACTTCCTTTGTTCTTGCTGACAAATGTCAGGGAAAGCTGGTTCTAGCTGGGCACATGTATGCTAATAGCCCAGGGTAGGTAGGTGTCTGGAAATCTTTTCCAAAGAGGGAGGGAAAAAAAAAAAAAAAAAAAAAAAGATCCACCTGAGCAATCTCTGCTACATTCATATCTTTCAACACAACTTTTCAAAAGAAGAAAAAAATATGACCATATGACCACAGATAAACCTATGTGCCCACTACAGCTCAGGCCAAAGGCAACAAGTTCACCTTCAAACATCTCTACCCAAGTATTTAAGCTAGCTGATATACACAGGGCAGAGTTAAGACATGTGCTTAGGGCAATTTTAAGAGAACAACTCTATCTTTAGCAATAAGTATATAAAATAGTACTTGTGCTCTTTTTATTTGTACAGGAGGGTTTTAAAAGAAACATTTTTGAGAAATGACAGATCATCAGATCACTAATAACTGTGGTTTCCTGAACAATTAAAGGAATTCACAAGATTGCAATCCACTCGGGAAGTGACAAATATTTCTGATTTTTATGGAAGGACTGAAAGGGCACTTTTATCTATTTCATAAGAACCCTTGTTAAGTAATGATGTAATTTTTGTTAGTTTTTTACTTATTTCAGGAATACTAAATATAGTAATGATCTGAAAATAGAAAACATTTCACTGCATATTTGCAAAGGTAAAATTTTGTATGAAGAGACATTTGTCAGAGTTTCCTGTTTTATCTATTAAGGTTGGTTCTTCCAGCTCAGGTTCCATTGTCCCAAACTCTGTTTCTAATGCATCAGCAGAAATGTCCTCTAAGTTACCTCATCTTATTCTTCACAAACACACTTTGTAAGCTTGCCCTCCATGCATCATACTAACAATATTTGGCCCTGATAACATTTTATGTATGATGCCCCTGTTTGGAAAAATCTGCTCTTTTTAATAACTGATTCAATAAACTGTTGACAAATGGTTTGTTTAATATAGTACAGCCAGCAGCAAGGTTTGTCTCTGTCATGACACACCACATTCAATCCATCTGCAAACGCTGCCATGTCCCCCTTATGTTAGAGCACCTTTTGCCATTCTGAATAGCAATCCAAAGATCAATACGCTGTCTGCTGAAAACTATGGGACATAACAAATGAATCATTTTATTTACAATAAAAGCCCCAGTCCCCAAATGGATTCTACTCATGTTCAAATTCACTTTTCATGCTCAACTCGAGAGGAGAGGTAGATGTAGCGTAGTACAGGAAGAGGGGCGTAAGGAATAGTATGAACCACAATGGTTCAAATTTATTTAAACCATGAACAATAGCTGGGGTACAGCAATACACACGAACACAGCATTCGCTGCAAAATCCTGGAGATGCCCTCTCCAAAATGATGCTGTTCTCTCACCAAGAAACCCTGAAAAAGAATTTTCCAGTAACAAGAAATTAATGGATTAAGAAATTCTGACATATTCTTCTAGAGTGTTGCATCACAGAGGCCAAAGCATATTCAATGGGCTTTAAACACTGTTGGCAAGGAACAGAATGTTTGCATTAGGTGAGGACCAGGAGGGACTGAAGAGGCTTTTTTTAGAATTAAAAAAAAAAAAACACACACACACACAGTCTCATTTCAAAAGCATATCTTCGGCCCCTGATCTGACAGTTCCTTTCCTACTCCAAAAGCTATTAAAAAAAAAAAAAAGCCAGGGAGCAAAGTCATAAGAGAAATGGAGTGGGTAGCAAAATGTTAGCAAGGACACAAGTTCAAAGATAAATAACATTTCCAAGTCTCTCATGAATGGCACACTCCCCAAAGGTCGCCTAAATATCATTAAGTAGAAAAAAAATCCAAAATACAAGACGAAATGGTCTACTTTACATGAAGATGCCAAAATACTGTCGTTAAAATACAAACTTGTCCACTGACAAATTAACATGCAGAGAGAAATGGAAAAGCATCTTTTTCTATCTGCCATCAATTAATTCACTGCTTTTACACTTAACTCAATACATGGATAACACATAACTGCAAAAACAGAGTTGTAACTGACAAAGGATGAAGTTTGGAAAATATGGTTTGGTCATATAATAAAAAAATATAAATCTAAAAAAAAATCAAATAACAAGACTGGGCTTTGGGCATGGGAATACGAAAAAGGGATCTTAGCAGACCTTTACTCTCCCATGCCATGAACTAAACAGTATAATATGTTCCTGATATTCATAGTTTCCCTTTGAATTCAGTCACTGTTGTACTTTGTGATGCTAAGACAAAAGAGTTGTACAAAAGTAGGTCCCTATGGGCTGGAGTTGTAGCTCAGTGGTGTGAGGCACTGGGTTCGATCCTAGCATCACATAAAACAAATAAAGGCATTGAGTCCATATACAACTAAAAAAATTAAAGGAAAAAGAATAGGTCCTACCCGCAGGAAGGAATAATTCTGTGCAAAAACAAAAGAATGCACAGTTCTGACATGAGGCAGAGTAGCAAAGTTTTGAATTAATCACCATGTTAGCAAGGAACCAAGCATCACAATGAGGAAGCCATATATCTTACCTAACAGGGAAGAATAATTATGAACACGCCTCACTTAAAAAAGCAAGGAGAATCTAGAGGTAAAGAGTAGCAGAGGAAACTATGGTCAAGTATAACACATTTTTAGGAAATAGCTAGAAAGAAGGGAAATTGACTCTAGACAATAAAAGGCTTTAAGAACCAGGCCAAGGAGTGAGGACTTTTTCTTCACAAAAACAGAGACTCGTTACTTATTTTCTAGCAAGGGAACAGAAGAGTAATATGATCAGAGTTGTGGTTCAGAGTAGGGTGGAGGCTAAATGGGAGGAGCCCAGAGAGAGGGAGTTGCTAAAATCCAGATGACCCTCACCAAAGAGCTAGAAGGCAGGCTGGATAGAATGCCAGGGGAAGATAAAAGCCCACTCTGGACTTCTCCCATTCATTTTATGAAGTGTTAGTGAGCAGAGCTATCCACAGCTTCAATTCCCCCCAAATCTCAGAACAAAAGACTGGCTTTCTGCAAGCAAATGAGTATCTTATTAAGATGCTTCTCATAGTTATAACCAAACAGAGTTTACAAAGGTAAAGTGAAATAAAAAATTCCAAAATCTTCACATAAAAAGGATCATCTGAATATATTGTCTACTGGCCCCAAGACCATTTTCAACACTGTAGATGTGAAATAGCCTTTCAGAGTGCACTGATTACAGAAATGTTCTGGCTGTCATTGTTCCTGTCCTCAGAAACACTGGGCACTTCTTGCAAACAAACCAATATGAAGAGACTTCACATAACATTATTTACCAGTTTATTGATTGATCATGATTTTTGTAAATCCACAAAACTTAATTAATTAAAGTTTGGATTCAGGGAATTTGGAAGTTTATCATATAATCACAATTATCTTTTGTTACATGTTTTTCTATCTGTCCCTTTTTTTAATGGCTTATAATGATTAGGAAGGAAAGTTATTCATAAAGGTAGGTACTTTGAACATATATAATAATATAAATCATAACTGAAAAAAATCTTGGCATATCTGGGTTTTCAGAATTCATTCATTTCCAAGTCAAATCACATCTTAGTACAGAAAATATTATCTTAAAATATGACATTTGATTCTTATTATACTCTGCATAACAAAGAAAACAATTTTTGAATAGCCACTATAAAATTCACATGTACACAATCATAAGCAATACTTTTAAAAAAAACACCTTTTAGTTGTAGATGGAAACAATACCTCTATTTTATTTATTTATTTTGATGTGGTACTGAGATTGAACCCAGTGCCCCACACCTGCTAGGCAAGTGCTCTACCACTGAGCCACAACTTCAGCCCAAGCAATATTTTGAACAACATAAAAATAGCTCCCCTGAGTATTTCACCAATTCCTACAACTCCCACTGCAAACTAGAGTAAAGCTCCTAGTAGTCCACAGGGGAAAGAAAAGTCCTTCAAAGGAAATAAAACAACTCTACCACCAGCAACACTAGACAATGGTCTAGAAGCCAGGTCTTCTCCCAGGAGAAAATGCCTTTTCTGATCACAATAGGAAAAACAATTTTCTTAAGTATGTATACATGTATGAATTTAATTAAAACTCACAATTTGAATGACCTGTAAGAGGTAATGAAACAAAGATTCAAATTCTCATGTAATCCCTTAATTCCACAAAGTTGCAATCCAATTTCTAACCTACCATTAAAATTCACAATGGATAAAACGAACATGAAGTGCCCATGATATTCATTGGGCCAATTTTAGAAACACCTATTTATTTACCCAGCTACGATAGTGAAAAGGTCAAGCAAAAATTCACCTCCAAAGCCACAGTTGCTAAGCAACTCTTCTCACAAGTTCTGCAACACTGATCAAGCATATTACTGGTGCCACCAACTGGATTCAAAGAGACGTGAATAACATCTTACCTGGTCTCTCCAAAGTGGGAGGGAGGTGGATCCCTTGCTTACCTTGGGTGGACAGTCATTGAAGGCCAAGCCTGCATCCGTTTGGTTGCATACCTTTTTATTTCACCCTCTTACAAGAAAAGGATACGTCCTGGTACGACCGGTTTCCTATTCACAAAAGCAAAGGACAGCTCCGTTTTGAGAAACACCACAGAGGGCTTGATAAGATGCTGGCCAAATCTGAATGACATTTCCTTACACTTGAGGTCTGAAAGAAGACAATTTAGAAAATGGACATTAATAAAAGTCAAATAAGAAATTCGGTTCATGTACCACTTTAAAGAAAGCAAATTCCATTACTAAAGATTCTTGGTTGTAAAGAGGATGCCATTTAAACTGTCTGCCATTTAATATCCACCCAGTTGAATTCCAGGTAAGTCCTCCCTAAACACTCCATTGTCCTTACTATGTTGCCTAGATTTGAGAGTGTTTTCAAGCCAAAGCTTGCACCTGATGACAAAACAGCCATTCACTCTTAAATCCTTCTGCTCTGCAGGTTGCTACCTCAAATCCAACAGGTCCAATTTGTCAAGTACTTATTTTTACCCCAACCATTTTTGTCATCTTTGTTAAGCTGAAATTTTTCATTGTTAAATATTGACTACAAACCTTCTAATTCTTAAATGTTTCTCTCAAATGGTTTTTATCTTTGTTTATATAAAAGCAATTTTGAACCTGTACAAACACTGTCTGACCTTGCCTACAATTACAAAACACACAAGCACTCCCAGAGAACTATTCCAGCATATTTTCTGAAATTAAAAAGAATGAAGGAACAAAACAGTTTGAGACGGGAATACTTCTTTCTGGTTGGGTTGACCCAGAGCCTGGATGTAGTAAGGTACACAAATTGTTTCTTTCTTTTTTTCTTTTTTTTTGCTTTCTTTCTTTTGTTGGCTAAAAGGAAAAAAAAAAAGTCCCAAAAAGGGAGTTGAAGAGAGTTAGCATTTGGCAATTAGAGTGAGATAAACCAACAAAGCACCAAGAAATGATTTCTCCAATAGGTGATGCCTATATGTGAGAGAGCCATTTTCTAAATGACTAAGACACACCACCTCTGGAAAACTACTTCATTTTTCAAATTTGGTAATAGCCCACTATAAAACTGACAAACATAGATCAATCTAGAAAAAAACAGAACATTACAAAAAAAGGATAAAATCAGAAAATAGTAGGCTATTTTATAAAGCAGACTAACACCCCATAATTTAATTGGCCAAATATTCTAGGTGACACACCAAAAAAGACAGAGCTATGCAAATGTCATTTATTACAGATGCACCCATATAATCAGAACTTGACACATTCCAGCTCAAGAAGTAGGAATGGGGAAATATCTCAATGGCACAGACAATGGTTTTTAGCATACATACATTTAGCTCATAAAAATGAAGAATAAGGATGTCAAAAATCATCTAACCCAATAGTTCTCAAGATATGATCCTTTGACAGTAGAATTGACGTCACCCAGGAACTTACTAGAAATGGGAGTTCTCAGGTACCACCATAAACCTACTGCATAAGAATCTGGGAGAAGGGCCCTGTGATCTGAACTTTAATAAGGCTCAGATGAATGAGAACCACTAATGAAACCTAACTATCATACCTATCCTTGGGTCCTTTCCTACAGAATCTCTGCAAAGCGGTTGGCTAGCTTATGCTTGAAACATCCCAGAGATGGGATGTTTGCTATACATTCCTTCTAAGATAATTAACTCCCCCACTAGTTACTCTTAATACCAAGTCACCCATTTGTTGAGGATTTATTCCTTGGGGCCATATAAAACAAGAATCATTCAAGCCACAGTGCCTCAAATATTTGGGTTTAACCATTCTTTATTTCTTCCAGTTTTCTAAAAAGAAACATGCAAATTGTGCAAACCACTCCAGAACAATACTGGTTCTAGAATCGGTAATCCCTGTGGTTCTTTGCCTCCCCAGAACCTACTTTCTAGAGTTCTAACCACATCACTTTTATTTTCTTTGGGGTATAATTCACCCTAGTCTACAGATGGGGCTCTTCCTACTGCCAGGTACCAGGGATGGGCACTTCTCTGGCATATCACTGCTTCAGGAGAGGACATGGGACACAAAATGAGTCATTGAAGGCAAGGATATCTTCCCAATGATAACTGCTAATATTAAAGAGAGCTTTTTCAGCTGAGTTGCCAGATTGGTTAAACATGAACTCAAACAGCTAGAGATCTCCCTAAAAACATATTAGAGCTAACACTGAGGCAAACAGAGCCAAGACACAGAGACCCACACCTGATGACATCGTCTAAGCATCTGGATATAGCAATGCTAGAAAGAATTATGTCCCTAGAATTTCCCTTTACAGACGTTTGCACAGTCTTAAGCACAGGCTGTATTTGATGAGCTTCTATTATCAAGAGTCCATAATGGGCTCTCCCTGGTAGTTTTATTTTTCTCTTATTATCACTCTCCCATTCATCCTCTATGCCCAGCACCATCCCTCCCCCTTGATTAAAGGATTCACTTTTTCACAATTAATGCACTATTTACAACCCTTTATGTGTTTGTATACGTATATTTCATATGTCAAAATATATTCAGGGCTCTTCAAATCATATATTTTAAATCCCATTCTTCTGTTTCTCTCAACATTCTTTCCGAGACTATCAATGTTGCTATAAATACCCCCTTCTCTCTTACAGCTTCTCACTGGATTCCACCATGGAATTCTGGTCCCTCCCCACAGAGCTCATGGACTAGTCTTTTACCACAAACACCACTAACTGCCATCTGCAGGTGTATTTCCCTAGATACCTATACTACACTTCCATTATGGGTTTCAGGTAATATATGTACTTAGGTTTTCTAAAATACATGCACCATTTTGTATTCCCAGAGCAATTCATGAAGATTTGTTTTCCTACACCCTTATCAGCACTATTATAGTATCTGCTCTCCTCACTTTTACTGGTTGATTGGCAAATGGTGTCTCTTCTTTTTAATTTGCTTGTTTCTTATAGCAATGTGTGCACAAACTACCGATTTGTTCTCTTTTTTCTTGTTTGTAGTTCTTAAGAATAAACCCAGTGATATTCACAGGCTAGGCAAGTGAGTGCTCTACCACTGAGTTATATCCCCAGCCCTATTTGTTCTGTTTTTATTACTCTCCTCCCTTCTACTTTCTGATTTTTTCAGAGTCCCTTGTATATTCTGAATATTGATTGTGGCCTATTAAACATGACAATTATATTTTTATCATGTGCTAATTTTTCTGCTATTCTCTCAACTGAACAAAAAGCATCCATTTTGGGGCATTCACATTTTCTTTTGTGCTCTGTGAGTCTTATATAACATATCCTTCTCTATCATAAGGTTACCAAATAGATTCCTTTTTTGGTGGTGACAGTGTGGCGAGGGGGACTAGAGATTGAACCCAATGATGTTTTATCACTGAGCTACATCCCCAGTCTTTTTTTTGGACGAAGGGTTTTGAGGCCTTGCTAAATTGCCAAAGCTGGCCTTGAACTTGAGAGTTTTCTGCCTCTGCCTCCAGAATCACTGGGATTACAGGCATGCATCACTTTATCACTTTGTCCAGCTTAGGTAGCAAAACATATTCTTGAATGTTCTTTTATCACTTTTATATTCTTCACTTTTAACAGATATTTATTTATTTCACGTGGGACTTTGTTCATAATATGAAATATGAAAACAGTTTCACTTTTCTCCTTTTATGAGTCAATTTTCTTTGTACTGATATGTGGGAATGACTACACTACATCCTATATGTACATAGGAATGAGTCTGGATTGTTTTAGTCTGATTCCATGCCAGATGCTGTAGAAGAGAGGTCACTAAATTATTTCTGCAGAGGGACAGATGCAGCAGTTGGTGCTTCAACTACTCAATTCTGTCATCACAGCATGAAAGCAGTCACTGGCAATATCTAAATGAATAGGTGTGCTGCGTCCTAATAAAACTTTACTTACAAAAATAGTTGCAGACTATATTTGATTGTGGGCTGTATTTGCTAACTCTTCTTACAGATTTGCTACTTACCTTATGGAGAAAGAATTTATTTTTCTTGATTTACTCTCCTACAGAAATTTACTCTTCTCCTTCAAAAAAAAATTCTTGGTTATTTGTTGGACCGGATTTAAATTTTAATGGAGGGGATATGTGACATCTTCACAATATTCCATGAAGCCATTTATGAGCACTGCATTTATGCTCTTTAATATCATAATAAAACTCTTGTAATAGAGTTTTAAATTTTCCTTACATGTTTTATGCATTCTATCTTAGATTTATTCCTAGATAGCTTAGTTTATGTCACTATTATAAATGGTATCTTATTGTCATAGTTCATAATTGGTTACTCCCAACACAGAGGAAAGCTATTGATTTTTATGTGTTGCTCTTACAGCTAGCAACCAAGCTGAACTCTTGTATTGCTGCTAATAGTTTCTGCTGATTCTCTTTGATTTTCTATATAAATGATTTCACGTAGAGGTAATGACAGTGTTATCTCTCATTTCAATTCTTTTTCTCTCTCTTTGTCTATTGCAATGGTCAGGTATCTGGTAATGTGTTGAGAAGTAAAAGCAACAGAGTCATCCTTGTCTTGTCCCTGTTATAGATTTTTAGTAGAAAGCCTTTATCAAACTTAAAAATCCCTTGTATTTTTACATTTATAAAAAAAAACCTTAATACATGTTTTATATCAATGAAGATGCAACCGCTTCTTCTTTGCCATGAATATGGAAAATGACATTACAGATTTTTTTTGAAATATTGTGCTATCCTTTCACATTTATGTTTGACTCAGTCACCAAGTTTTATTTAATATTTAGTATCCCTCAATGTCATAAGTGAAGTTGGCCAACATTTTTTTCAAGCCTCAACTTACCTTGTTTATTAAAACCAAACTTAACCGGTTCATTTTTTGTGCTAAAAGAAATTTTTATAAAGGAGTATTTTCTGTTCCTTGCAAGTTAAGCAGAACTCACTTGTAAAACTGTAACCCTTTTCCTCTTACAGGGAGGACTAACTTTTGATGATCATTATGATTTATTATGTTTTCTGATCTACTCAAGTGTTCTTTCCTGTATCAATTTCTTATCCATATATCCTTTCGCACAAATTTAAATTTTTATAGATAAAAATTCACACTTTAATCAATAAAATAATTATAGATCATTATTTTAAACTATTTTGTAATCACAATATATG